TTCTGATTTATATCAATGAACTGCCTTCAAGTGTTGAGGCTGGAGAGATCTGTCTTTTTTGCGGATGACACGTCTAGCTCTGTCTGGCTCAACTTCCGAGGGATTAGAATTAAAATCTTTTATTGAAGCAAATAACGTAAAGCAGTGGTTTGACTCCAATTTATTAAATCTCAACCCCAACAAAACTGAATTGCTCCGTTTTTCAATCCATACAACTATCCTTTTAGACAACGTGGAAATTGAGTCAACAGAAGGTGTCAAGTTCCTTGGTTTATTATTAGACAAATACCTTTGTTTTTATGACCATATCGACAGTGTCTGTATGAGGGTTGGTTCCGGCATCTTTCTTTTAAAACAATTGTCAAATTTTTCTGATCAGAAAGTCATTATGACCGCCTATTATGGGGTCATTTTCACTCATTTAGTATATGCAGTGCCGGCATGGGGATGTGAGAATAGAAGGACCAGATTTCTATTTCGACTTCAAAAGAGAGCAGTTCGAACCATCTTTAAAATCAGCTCACGAACTTCATGCAAAGATTTTTTTCAGTCTTCAAATATTTTAACTTTTCCATGCATATACATCCTTGAAACACTCTCTTTTCTGAAAAAGAACATTTCCATCTTTTCAAGTTCCAGATCATGTCCATATTCTTTGCGAAACAGTCTTGATCTTCAGATACCAAAACATTCAACCACCTTTTTCAAAAAAACTTCTTTATTATGACGGTCCCTACTGCTTTTCGATGCATTGTCAACACATCTAAAAATTGAGTCAAACCCTGTTAATTTTAAAAAATCACTTCGAAAATTACTGGTGTCCAAGTGTTACTACCATGTCCGTCATTTTATTGCTGATGGGTAGTCATGGGCATATGGTATGCTTGGTTCATGAATTGTTTACATGTAAATATTGTTTTAGTTTAGTAGTAATTTAATGGTTTTTAAGAGACTGTATTTTTTAATTTATTTATTTATTTGCCGACGGATTTAAACCAATTTTACAGGTTGATTGAGTTGTAAATTGCTCATTATGACTAGATAACCCATATATACATAATAACAATGAAAGGAATGTCAAATGTAACAATAATAAAAGTAAAGTATAGCCTACATGTGAAAAACTTGGTCAAAGAAAGAATAACTGAGTAACGATAAGCAAATACATAGTTGAATGAATAACGAAGATATGTATACAATAAATGGCACATGGACTTATGGACCTAGAACCCCTACCCTACCCTATCTACCTGCTTAACCTAGAAAACAATAAATAATATAAATAACAATAAACATGATAAATATTTTTGTGAGAACAATAAACAATATAAATAACAATGTATATTTATAATAACAATATTTAATGTATATTGACTTTGACCTACAGTTACCTAACAATGTACATGTTCTCTCACTGATTTGAGAAAGCAAAGTGGCCAATTCGCTCATCCACTCTAATTACTTTGTCTCACTCCAGATTTGCAACGTGAAGGCACGAAATAGTGAGCGCGTAACATGAGACAAGATCGTATGCGCGCGAAATACGTTGGCAAAACTGGCAGTAAATCAGCTGGTCAACTGTTTTACTGTTGTATCATTAAGGCCAGGCGCACACAGGCGATTTTGAGTCGCGCAACAGTTGCCCGACTAAAATGTTCAACATTGTTTTAAATTGGAGTGCGCACACGAAGGAAACAGTCTGGGGACAGTCGCGCAACTGTTGCAACCGATGTTCCCGGACCCAATTTGCCAGCGACTGCTCTGCGACTGAATTGTTGCGGGACTGTCGCTCCTGGTTTGGTATCCATTGAAACAAGTGTAGATGCGCACACATGCAACTAAATAGTCGCTGTGTCGCTCAGTCTCACCCCAGGAGTTAAACTACTCGTGGTCAGAACTGTCACTATTGTTTGCTCTCTTGTTGTGTGAAGATTTTAGAAAATTACAAGTATGAGTGTGCTTGATGAGGATTTTTGAGAAGAGGCCGACTATATTTAAAGTCATTGAAACTGTCCTTTCACAAGTCGCTCACTATATATATGGGATGAACCCAGTATCTTCTCTTTTTCTTTCGCGCGCGAAACTTCAGCAACAAAGCACATACTACGGTTGTATCATTGAAATCCATTCGGAACGCTGTTACGAATGTATTTCCAACACGTCTCAAGACTAGATCCGCGACTAAAAAGTTGCCTGTGTGCGCACTCCAGCTCAACTGTCGCTAGACTTCAGAGTCTCCGAGAGAGTTGCGCAACAGTCCCCCGATTAGTCGGGCAACTGTTGCGCAACTCAAAATCGCCTGTGTGCGCCTGGCCTAAATGTCATATTAAAAGTTCACTTCTGTGTAAAAATATGTTACGTTTCTTTAACAAATTAATTTGTTTTATGGTATCTGTAGGAAAAATATAATGTGCAACTCGAGCGCAAAGTTTGCTCACTTTGCTCACTAGTTGCACAAATAACTATTGCCAATTAATGCATTAATGTAAATCTGGCCAAATAAATGACTTATGACTAATGAATTTCTTCCATTTGATTTGATTTTCTGTTAATATTTTGTTGCTATTTCGTCGTGATTTCGTCACCAACATGACAACCCATAACAGACACTTTTTCACCCTCCCTGTTGCAGCAAACCTATTACCTAAGTACAGCGAACCTAAATAGGGAATAAAAATGTGATATTTGTTATGAGATATTTTTAGTTTACCCAGTTTACGTCCAATCAGGCAAATGGACATTCGCTTTGTATGCAGGTTTGCTGCGGCGGGGGCATTTCCTTCTTCTCCTTTGTTCTGACCTGACTTCTGTCGTCTGTCCCATCCTCCAGCTGGTCTGGTCTCATCTCTGGACTGGATCTCTCCCCATCCGGTGTCCGACTGTCCGAGTCCCGAGTCCGATCCCCATATAAACAAAATGAAAATAACAACCGAATCTAAGTTCGTTTAAACTTGGTTGCGCTTTAGTTTACGTCCTATATTTATTTTACACTAGGAGTAGGAGATTATCAGCATTGACTTTATGATATTAGTGTCTTTGTCAATGATATTGGTGAATTCGTTAAAGGCAAGTACCAATTTTGTTTCTAGTTATGCCTAGTTAAAGAATTATCTCTAGGCTAGGCCCTAGTTATAGTTAAGCCTAGCCTTAGAAACTGAAAATATTGAATCGAAAAAAAACAATCGACTGAGTGTAGGACGTCAAGTAAAGTGCAGCCAAAAGGATCTGCTTGCTCTAATGCTCTGCCCTCCTTCTAATGCAATTAGTTGGGAAGGATGTCATGACTCTTTTGTAGGCTACCTAAAGTGTATTATTGGCTACTAGGCTAAGTTAGAGGCTACAATAACTTACGCTTGGAAACTGACATAGCCTGTAACAATGTTGTTGATTGGCCAAATAAATTCATTGTAGCCTATTCATTGTATTTATTGTACACCAATCTTATGGAAACATAATAAGTTATGGTTAGACCTAGATCAAGAGACGCAATTTGGAAGTGTAAGTCACGGAAAGGGTGCTAAACTTAGGCCTGCTCTAAAACCCCTATATTTTATCATGGACAATGAAAAGCCAGTGGCAATGATGGCCTTATAAAGGAATGGGGCAGATACTTGTTGGTGCCTTCAATAGGGTAGGCTACTTAGAACCAGACATTGAACCTGTTGAGGTTAGGAGTAAAGCTTTATGGATGGAAAATGACCACAAACAGCCGCCCAAGGAGACAATTTTTTTTTTTTAAGTGAGGTCGGTTTATCCAAATTAAGTTAGGCCTAAGTTTACTTCACTAGAAGGAAAGAGAGATGAGATGCGGTTAACATTGCATAAAAATTAATAAGTTAGTAATGGTTCTCAGTGAACTTCTCACTCTAAGCTAGGCCTACGGATGAGGGTTATTGTTTTCAAAATGCCTAGGTTACTGATATTTCCGTCGAACATCAATGTTTTTGGCCAAGTAAGTTATTGTAATATCGATGTTTTCCATAAGTGAATTGTATTGTAGGCCTATTTATTCTATTGAAAGGCTGACGAAATATCAAATCCAAAAATATCGAGAAACTGCCAATCTAGAACGTCTAGCTAGCAGCATAGACTAACCAACGCAAGGGAGTGAGTTGAATCAATGCTTGTAAAGTAGGTATGCTAATAGTTTAATCAGCTGAGGCAGTATACATAAATCAGACAAAAAACTAATAAGAAAATATCATTGTTATCAGTAGCTTACATTGATGGTTGACACTATTCAATGTAGGTATTTCTAGGTACGACCTATCCATGCTCATCCCTATGTCATACGTGTAAAGGACAGCCCCGGGCGCCGTGAGGTATAGGGAATGTGCTCATATAAGTTAACAGGTATCAGGGTTCCATGTCAAAGTGTTCAAAAACTCGGATTCACACACTTTGTGTAAATAATATAAGGAGTGTTTTTTTAGTAAAAACAAACCATACAGCAACTGGCAGTAAGTTATTTGAATATAGAGCTTATTCCAAAAATCCAAGTGAAGAGCATCCTTAGTGAATATGTGAATGAATAGCATACTAGTGGGAGAGATACTTAAAAAAAACTTGTTGAGTGCTGCCACTGAAGCGGGATCCTCAACTCAAAGGGCTTAGAGGCATTAACAACGTTTACCTTGGAGATCGTCAAAGGTTTTCTCTTCAATAAAGGTTAAGTTCTTAAAACTGCAGCAGATAAAAATTCTATTTAATTAAAATAACTAAGTTTCACTAGGAATAGAAGTTTAGGAAAGAGACTAGCCTCTGAGAGAAAATTGAGGAATAAGAGGCTTGAACAAAGTACCAGTATGGTAGTGTATAATTTTGTTAGAAAATATCTTGAGCAGCTAGAATATCACGATGTTGTAGGTATGCTAAGCTATAATACCGAGCCAAATAATAACAGTCTAATGAATCTTTTGAAAATTATTGGAATTGCAAAGTAGCAATTGAATTATGAATTAAAATATTTGTCTCTGTTTTTGTTTTAGGGAGCCTACCACTAAGGAAAAAATAATATTGAAAAGTAAAAAGGGTCTCAGCTATTATTCATTGATTAAAACCCTTTAAGTCACAGACTACAGAGCCAAAATGTCAATATTCATCAAATTCTGCAGTTTGCAAAGGATTTACCTTATGTCAAGGCCGAAGAAAAATATTGCCATGATAAAAGGTTAGTTTTAGTTTTTTTTTTTTGTACTTAATTGTTAGTTAGTTTAGAATTTAGATTTAGGCTACTTATCCTTTTTCCTACAGTTACCTAACAATGTACATGTTCTCTCACTGATTTGAGAAAGCAAAGTGACCAATTCGCTCATCAGTGAGACAATGTTAACATTGTCTCAATCTAATTACTTTGTCTCACTCCAGATTTGCAACGTGAAGGCACGAAATAGTGAGCGCGTAACATGCAGGCAACGTCGTATGCGCGCGAAATACGTTGGCAGCACTGGCTGTAAATCAGCTGGTCAGCTGTTGTACTGTTGTATTTGTCACTTCACATTGAATGTTATATTAAAAGTTCACTTCTGTGTAAAAATAGGTTATGTTTCTTCACCAATTTATTTGTTTTATGGTAACTGTAGGAAAAGTATAATGTGCAACTCGAGTTCAAAGTACAATTGCCTCACTCGAGAAACCATTCCTCACTCGCCTACGGCTCGTGAGTAGGGATTTCTCTCGAGTGAGTCAATTGCTCACTTTTCTCACTAGTTGCACAAATAACTATTGTCATCGGCATTTCAGCAAGCTTAATGTTTACCTTACCGTAAAACGGGGTGACTTGAGCCCAGTGGGGTGACTTGAGCCCAAAACGCAAGAAAAAGTTTTGAATTTTCGTTTCAGAAAACCTAAATGACTTATCAAAAGGTTTTATATATCAATTTGAAGGTTACCTAATTAGCTTTCACCACAAACGATTCCAATTATTTTAACTGTCCATTTTAATAATTATAAAAAATAATAATGTTAACACGTCTGAATCTGAATTTCATTACGTTGAAAAAAGGTTATCGGCACAATGGGTATTTGCACTTAAATGAATATAAAACTATTTTTCCCCATTTCATTATTTCCTTGACAACACAAACATGTTGAAGCATGTTTGATTATGTAATGGTTTAAGTCAGTATGACCTGGGTTTACCTTATCATGACCAAGTTTGGCAGATTTTGGGGTGACTTGAGCCCACCTGTGTTTAAGTGGTACCGTAACGTTTGTTTAGTAATGAAATAAGACACTTTCATTATTTCATGTGGTCTAATAATTGGAAATGGCCAGAAAAGGTAGATGAGTGCTGGTACAGCAAAGCAGAAGTTAAAGGAAAAATAGCAGCCCCCACACCCATTACCGACAGAGGATCTTTTGCCGTTCCAGAAGTGGAAAAGTGGCGGTTAATGGACAAAGACATAAAGTAGAACAAGTGCTTTTACTAGTGTAAATAAATAGTGTGTAGATAAAAAACAATTTGTTATTTTTACATTTAGTTAGTCTATTAATGACTGTCAAAATGTCTATTGTGAAGTTTTCTATATCGGAGTGACGAATCGGTTCGGATTAACTAGAACGAGATATTGGCAACATTTCATTTACAGAAAAAATTACTTTTTTATATTTTCAAAAATTGCTGGTGGACTTTTTCTGATTAATCATATTCAGATCTTCAATATTTGGTAAGTAAAATTTGTTTAAATGTTTCTGTAAGTTTTTTATAAATTTATTACAGTTTCGACAAAAACTTTGTGTTTTGTTGTACACTTACCGTCATTAAACCTTTAAAAAACAGGAATTTTTAATCTAAAAAAATACCAAAATAGTCAGCTATATATGTGGGTTCAAGTCACCTCATGGGTCAGTGCAGTGGGTCTAGTGCATTAGAATAGCATTGAAATATAATAGCTGGGTTCAAGTCACCCCGACCAACGAGGTGACTTGAGCCCACCCATATTTTATTTTTTTTTAAATAGTTACACTAACTTTAAAAAAATCTTATTCCACACATTTGTAGAATAGACCAAGACTAAGTTTACTGTAAAAGATTTATAAAAAAATACTTAATGGGTTTACTTTAATGAACAAGCAAAGTTCAAAAGTGGGCTCAAGTCACCCCGTTTTACGGGCCTACTGAATTAGGCGTTAAAATCATTAAACTTATATTATGAAGTTGATGACTTATCTTTTCATACTTGCAAGTTTGACATTGCTGCTAATATTTACGTTTATGCCTACTCGTGCCAATAATAATAGTGTTTTTAGTTGAACAGCAGTGGGTACTGTATAGGTAATGTCCTGGCTTAAGGACGGTCTGACTTGTAAAAATTTACTTTTTGTATTTTTAGGATTATTTGTATTTAGAATCATTAGAATTTTCCGTTTATAATGGAAAAGCCACTGAGGCAGAGCCCAAGGGACTTTCAAAAATGTAAGGTCAGTTTACAAATCTACACACCTAGACGAACATTTTGGTATATAATATGTTTGGTTAAATGTTAAAACAAAAAAGCCTTATTGTTCACAAAGGTTCATCTAGCGTATTAATAATACAAATAGATGATTGATGATATAGATATGGAAGATTATTGCTCCCCATTGTGCTGTACAGGAGTACAGGACCCCTAGTAGTATTATTTTATACTAGTGGCTTGTAGGGACATAAGTCCCTACAATGCTCAATAATATAAAACAAATTATTCTAATATTTAAACAAACAAAGAAATATATTATCTATGTGTCAGAATAGATATCCCTTATATATGCCATATCTTTTGCAAAAAAACAATTTGTTGTTTGTCTTTGTTGATGTTATTTTCAATAAATCATTCGAATCACTACATAGATTTAACTCTGCTAAAGCAAGGCCACACTATAATGGCAGCAAACATATAATTGGTTGTGGATAAATACTGGTTTATTAAGGTAGCTCGTTAATTATTTATTCAATGTGGTTATTTCTTGTTAAACACAAGTTTGAAAAGTTTCACAGTAAAATAATATATTTCCATATTCTATATAACGTAACTAAAAAGTCTTAATTATTATAGGTAACGTTACCCCTGGTTTTATATAGTACATTGCTGAACTTACTGGCAAATAAGTATAATCCAAATGTTAACATTGCGTACTGGCTTTATGATAAATCACGATCAGCTGTATGAAGTAAACAACCATTAGCAGAAAATAGCTTCTAATGCTATTCTTATGGAGAACATTTTACGATATATCTCGTTTTCTGGTAACTTTATGGAAATTCTGCTATTTTTCCCGAGTCCCTGGGTTCAAGACCTTCAATTTAAGACCCCACCCACTTTTCTGCGACTTACCAGACGTCCAAAATTTTCTGGTAAAGATTTTGTCTTACAGAATTATATATAAGGATGTTCTTACAAAGGTATTTTATGATTTTAGATTTTCATTCACAACTATCACGGCGTTGGTTTTGTAGCAGTTTGAATCAGTTTGGTCAGCAACTGAATAGCTCATCACCAGGTAAAGAATAGTCTACTTAGTTAGTAGACTAAAGCGAAACTCATATTGGTTTTATTTTCAAATAAACTTCAAGTTTACTCTTACTTTTATCTTGTTAACCCTTTTAACCACATTAGCCTTATTAATTCATCTTAATCAAATAAGATGAAGGAAACATCATTCGATGAATACCACCAACATTAAATTTATTTTCTTTTTCCATCCGGATTATGTTAATTATATAAATTAGAGTAAACGTAAATCCAAATTGTTGCAAACACGCTACTAGTTTCGACTTCATGAAGTCGTCATCAAGCGTCCAGGGGATGTCAAATTTACTAGACGCTATATTCACCCAGTCGCGATGCAGCATCCCTAAACCGTTGTTACCATATTTATTTTTCTTTCACATGTTGTAAATGTACCTTTTTTTCGTATCTACATTCGTGTTTGTGTATAAATGTACAATATGGGTACCCACGACATGAGAAGTGATTTTGACATCCCCTGGACACCTGATGATGACTTTGTGACGTCGAAACTAGTTGCGTCTTTGTAACACTTTGGATTACTAAGAAGCAGGTATTTACACCAATTTAAATTTATTGATGACATTGTGGTTCAAAGCGTTACCTCCCCAGCCAGATATAGCACTGAGGATAAAAGGTTTGAATACCAACTTGTTCGTGTGGTTCACAACTCATTAGGTGCTCACAAATATTGTTGAATGTAAATTTATAAGTATAATCATGTATGTAACTTATATATAGTATTATAGGAATAATATTTTGCTTGTGTAACATTAATGCTCAATAACTTTTAAGTCAAGCCTGCCTATGCTAGCAGAAAAATCAGATGTTAGAAACAAACTCTTTGAAACAATGGCATGGATTGGGGAACATTAAAATAGGCGTGTGGCATCATACTGTAATTGGTAATAATATTTTTTATTTTTTTGAAGTGTGGGGTTGGTAATTGTGTTTTATTTTAACCCTCAAACTGACAATGCGCAATATATGTAGTGGCAAGGCATTTTTGGCGATTTTGCAGTAATATTTTAGAAAATTCGAATATAAACTAAACGAACAGAGCAAACCTATTGAACCATATACTTGAATTGTTCGTAATGAAATTAAGAATTTGAAAATGGCAACAGAATATTTAGAACAGTGTGTATTGGCATTAGGTAGACAAAAATATAAAAAATAGGTTTTTGAATTTTGAGATGTTAAAAGTAAAACTTTGCTGCATGAACCAAAAATTCTTTATGTGAAAATCAAGATATACAAAATTTTTGGAATTTATTTCCCTACTTGTAAATGTAAACTTGAAAAACTTTGGAGCCTACTTTTTAGGGTGTCTACTTTACTCTTGTACATTCTTCTGTTTAACAAAAACCTTTTTTAACTTTTGCCACTACTTTGTAAAATTTATCTCTTTGGTGATACAACGTAATATGCATTTAAAATAGCCTCGACTTTTTTTTTAACACAATCAGATGATCTATGTCTGAGATATTAAAGTTCAAATTCAAGTGCCCATATTTTTCCTCAACAATAAATTAAAATCTGGGGTTCACATGGATATAAGTTCAAAAGTATTATTAATACTTGCTAAATATAAATCCAATTGTTCTCGATAATTTGAAGTACGTAATTGTAATGGTTGTAATTTAGACAGTTAGCAGTGATAGTGTGATAGTGATCTGAGCTATAATGGACGTTTCTCCAGTGATAGTGACATGGCTTGTGCTTTTTGTGTTGCTCTCTGCAGTATCCTCTCGTGATCCCGTCAACCACAAACGATCTGCAAAAAGTAAGATTGTGTCAGATGGTAGTTTGAAATATAGGAAATATGAAAGGATAATTCAATGTTGTTTAGGTCTGGTTAGGTTGGGGATAAGCTTAGATAGTAGAAGTATTATCATAGACTAACCAACACAAGTAGACTTTTCATCCCATTGTAAATTTTGAAGCTCGTTTTTCGTGTCTAGTTCTTGTACAGTGACACTGGGCGCTGGTGTCGACTAAATTTTGTTTCTATTATTTTAGGGGTAATTTCTTGATTTGTGCGTTACTGTTTGGTTATATAACTAGGAGACAAGTTGTTATTGTTTATGATTAGATCGTATTTATTTGGTTAAACGAGGTTTTAAATGACTGAAATAAAAAGAAACATTTTTTGTCATAATTTTGCCAGAAACTGTCCAAAATAAAAAATTTTATAATACCCCAAAGTACTCATATTATAATTGTTTAACCAATTTTTCATACAGGTTAGATCAAACATCAGAACCATAATGTCTCAAACGCCAACTATTTTTGAATCTACAATAATGATGAGTTGTTTTGAACTTAGTGAACAAATGATTTTATTTCCTTAAAGATTACAGTGCTTTACAATAATATTGTTGGAAATAAGACCGACCACTTTCACCAGTTGTGTGGTCAGTGAAACAATTTCTTTTGACTGAAAATAAACATAAAAGCAGTCTAGTTCAACCATAAAAATAAAACAAATTTGCTCTCTGTGAGGTTTGCTACAAAAAACTCAATTATCTAAATCAAACAGCCTTATACAAAGTTTAATAAATATAAAAATATTCAATCTTAAAATTATAGGTTGAAAGAACAACTATTCTTGGATATCATTGTGCTGAATGTTTATAGGGTATAAATAGAAATTAAAATATTGTCATCTTTATATTGGAGAAATTGGAAAATATTAAACTAAATAAATTTAAGTGTTGTCAGAAGTTATAAAGTATATATTTTAAATCCAAAAGCAATATCTGAATTTGTTACTGTCAGGCTAGTATGAACAACTACAGTATTAAGAAAGCTGTTAAAGCTGTTTTATTGCTTAGATTAGCTACAATAAGCTGCTTACATGTAAAAAATTTCTTAAAGTAGCCTAATAAAATTTCAGAAGGCGGAGCAGGGATTCCTCCAGTTATCAATTCATCTTCAGGAAAAGCGGGAAAGAAAAATCCTCCCCCTCCAAAAACCAAGAAAGCAAAACCACCAAAAGTAGATCTCAATTTAGTAGAAGAACTTAAAAAACTTGATGAGCAGTATGACAGATTAAAAGGTAAGTTATAGATGAATAGAACTTTGTGTGTATTAAGTTGACCAAACTATGCAGCTGGTCTATTAGGTTTGGTTAAAGCACTAAGTTTGACCATGTTTTAGTCAAAGCTCTGACTTAAAAACAGTAGTTCGAATCCCGTCAATCACACCTATAACTCCTAGCTACATGATAGTTTTGTGACTTGCTTATCTTAGAAACAAAAATATGTAGATCAGGTGAGAAAACTTGTATGGGAAAGTATACCCTTCTCTAAAGGTCATACAATTCTGAAATTTAGCCAATACTTACTTTGCGTTTGCAGATAGTAGTTTTTGTAACATACCTATCTCCAGTGTAGACATTTTCTATATGACTATGCACAGTTATTTAAACATATTTTAACTCTGATTGGTTTCTACCAATCATGACTTTTTTGGTATTTTAATGCAACCTACACATTTTCCTGGTTAAAAAAAAACTATTAAATAGAAAACAACAAACAAACAAACAACAACAACAAATGTTGGTATGCTCCAACAAATACTGTGAAAAATTTTATGCTCGGTTTGTGTTTCAGATTTACTTCAGCCAATCTTCCCGTTTCCAAAAAATAACTTACACAATGCATATGCAGTCATCTCATCACAATTGGGAGCTCAACATAAGGTAAAAACACCCCCGCCGTAGCTAACCTTCAGACTGAGCGAGTTTCTATTTGTCTGATTGGGTTTTTACTAAAATATGTCCTTAAAAATACCAGATTTATTCTCGATTTAAATAACATCAGATTTAACGAGTACGTAGGTTTGATGCTAGGGGAAAAGGGAAAAATGTTTTTTTTATGTTAATGGTATGAAACAAATTAAATTGCCAAATTTGATTAAAATACAGGGTGATTGATATAAGTGTGCCAGCCGTTTTATTCGAAAAACATAAGAGATATCAAAAAAAGTTAAATGGTAAGTGCCTTTGATTTTTTATTTTAAAAATTTTAGTCAAGTCAAAAAAATTATTTTTGCCGCCATTTTTCCAATATGGCCGCCAACTTTGATTTTTCTTACGGAACACCCTGTATTTTATGATGTATTCCGGTAGAAAATGTAATTTTAAGACGATTTTATTCTTGGGATTTTTTTCATAAACCTAACCGTTTCAAAGATAATAATGTTTAAAGTTTTAAAAATTAGGCATAAGAAAGAGTTTCAATAAAGGCCTAAGCAAGCATGCCAGCTGTTTCATTCAAAAACTATTCAAAATTTCACAACTTTAACCACTATTATCTTTGAAACGGTTAGGTTTATGAAAAAATCACAAGAATAAAATCGTCTTAAAATTACATTTTCTACCGGAATACATAATGAAATACAGGGTGTTCCATAAGAAAAATCAAAGTTGGCGGCCATATTGAAAAAATGGCGGCTAAAATTTTTTTTTCGACTTGACTACAATTTTTAAAATAAAAAATTCAAGGCACTTACTATTTATCTTTTTAGCGAATTTCCCATATAGGGAATAAGCTATTACCGTAATACTCACGGTAAGACCTGGACCCGGGACCGATTTTTTTGTTTTTTGTTTTGAGGTCCCTAGAGGCCAAAAACACCATCCGTTCAAATTCATATATATATATATTTATATATATATATATTTATATATATATGTGTCCGTTAGCGTGATAACTCGAGCAAAAATGATCCGATTTTGATGAAATTTGGTACAAACGTGTAAACCTACGTTTATTCGAACGAGTTCGCAAACCAGCATGATCGGACCATGGGAACGAGGGTTTATGGGGGCTTTTATGGGGTAAAAATGGGTTTTTCCCATTTTTGACCTAAAAAACATAAAATTTTGCAATTTCTTTCTAAACTATTTTGTAGAGCTTAAAAAAACAAATTATTTAGTATATTGAAGCGTTATAATGTGCCTAATGGTTACGGAGAAAATTTCAAAAAATTGTAAATTTAAAATTCCCATGTTATTCTTATGGAGAATAAGTAAACTGTTGTAGTTTGCTTGTTTATAAACATATTTTGCCCAAATTTGGAAAATTTTTTTATTTCTTACTAACTATTAACATTTTACATAAAAAACACTTTTACCCTCCCTGTTGCAGCAAACCTATGTGTAAAACTGATTCTATTTAAATAGGGAACAAATGTGATATTTTTAAGGAGACATTTTAGTGTAAATCCATTCAGGGAAATGGAAATTCGCTTAGTCTGCAGGTTTGCTGCGGCGGGGGTATTTTGATATCTCTTATGGTTTTCGAATACACTTATGGCACTCTTATGGCTGGCAGACTTATATCAATCACCCTGTATGTTCATAAACTAGCAAAATACAGTTTGTAAAAATGTGACGCAAATTTCTAGGGGGGGAATAAACTAGTATTCACCAAGTCAGGCTAGGCCTACCCCTAGAACCGGCCACACTCAAATTTCTTCCCCGGAGTGCTCAGAAGGAGCCGAGAAAAATCCAGGGGTCGATACGAAGTTGTCACGGCTTTGACTGATCAATTTATTTAAAATTTAATCGAAGGCTCAGAGCTCTAGAAGCGCTCAGGAAATCCTGCAGACGCCCAGTTGGAGCTATATCATCCCAGCCTTCGTACAAGTGTTTTGGAGAATTTTGCCTAACTTTTAGAATGACTCTGTAGGGCCGACGAGTATCCAATCTTAAGCCAATGTGATATAAATACTCGTAATGAACTTTAAAATAATTAGCTAAAGGCCTAGGTAAATAGTATAAGACCGAATATAATGTAAAACCCAATCCCTACAGAGTCGTCGGGGCCTAATTAATATAATTGGACGGATAATTTATCGTGATGTTGTTTAAAATAGATTTAATATTAATATTCGTAGCTGTTTGATTGTTCAAATCAGCTGCTCCCAAGACTTGATTCTTTCACCCGCCAAAGACGGGGTTTAGAACATAGACGACAAGTCTCGGGGTATTAAAACGGTGAAAACGAGATATAATTTTAGACGTGATAATTATTTGTTAAGCGAACGGAGAAATCGTAATTTCGAAACTAATTAATGGTAATTAAATAAACGATAGCCACCGCTAGTCACTGGCAGGCAGGAACTGGCGGGTCAAGACTCAAGTTAAGATATTAAATTTAGATAATTCGAAACGGAATATTAAGAAAACGAAAAGGTATAATAAGTTAAGTATGCGTAAGGTAAAACAGAAACAACGTAAAACGTAAAAAGGGGCCTAACTAATATAGTAGCTAACCTTCGTAATAATATCGTACAGTCGTCAGAGCTTCTCGTGAACAAGTCGACGGTTGAACAGCGAATAATCCTTGTCCGGCTCAAATCATGATTTCCTCGGTCGAGGCTTAATCGCTCTGGTGGTGAGTTTGAGAACTAGCCAACAGCTGATTGGAAATTCACCTGTTGAGCCGGTCTAGTTGTCGTCTGTCGTTGGTCAACAAACACCATTTCGAGGTTAAGTGATGTTGTAATCGGCGTTAAATATTCGTATAATTGGTCGTTTTAACTTTATTATGTGAAACGAAGCGCTATTATGAATGAATATGTAGTTGTGGATGTGTTTGTGCACTTCACTGTGAATAAAAATAGGCCTACGTTCTTTGGCCCATAGCCCAAGCTATGGCCAACACATAGGCCTCGGAGTAGGCTATTGTGGTTAAAAAATCGGGTAAGTTCTGGTGTTCATTTATTCGTAGTACGTTTTTACCCCCCTTAAAATTTGGCACCTTACAAAAAAAACTCGCAAATTTTAAGATAAAAAGTTTTATCTTATCAAATCATAACGTTTGCCTTTTCCAACTGAATATATTCTACCCAGTTGACCACAAAATGTGCAATTTTTAGGTTGAGTTCACTTATAACATGGTCAGTCAAGCGCCGTCCTTTTGGCACTGTCAGGTTAAGGTGGGGTGGCCTTCAGAGGCCAAGTTTACAGGCCGAGCTGCCTCCAAGAGTGAGGCTAGTGGCCGAGCATCTCTCCTCACCCTTCAATGGCTCCAGGTGTGTTGTTACACTCCAAAAATTCAATTATTTATATTTGCTTAACGTTCATTTCTGGTGACGTTGAGCTAATTTTATTTAAGATATCGCTCAAACCACCATTTTGTGCAGACATTTTGTTCATTGTGTTACAATTTTGTATGTTCCTATTAATTTTTTTTAGTCTAGAGGCTTTGTTTTTATTAGCCTACTGTTTTAACTACAAAAGTCAATACTACAGCTATCTGTGTAATTTTCAATAATTATGATTTTCCAGCTTCGGCCAATTTTGTGTACTAATCTTGTTATTTTATGTATTTTCACACCTAGGACGGGATCAGACTCTAGATCCCAAAACAACTTAAATATATTTTTAACTAGCAGAGTACCCGTCCTTCGTACGGGGTTGGCATATAAGTTTAGTATAAAATGCTTATTTTTTGCAGTTATACTCAAGCTTTGCGTTTGCAATGGGGGAGAACATAGTTTGATAAAATTTGCCACTTTAAATTTACATTATACTATAGTATTACACATCAACCATAGTCATAATGTTTTACCAATTCACCTAAACAAAAGATAAAAATAAACTGTCGAAAATTCCCAAAATATCACAAATTGTTTATGGAATTAAAAACATAAACATAACAGTAAACAATCCTACTTTGACAGTTGTCATTGCGTATCACAGATTTTTTGTTGCTGCTTAGTTCAAATTAGCTGTTTTCATAAATGCAAAAAAATAATATTGCAGCACTCTGTTGGTAAATCTTATAATTTTTTAATGCTTTTCATATCATAGAATCAACTTTTTTAGTTGAAACAGCTGACTATAGTTCGGCCGCTTAGAAAACGACCTCCTCCAGCATTGGTTTAGCATTAGCGCGCAGGTCGTTTTCTAAGCGGCCGAACTATAAATCTTTAATTCCCTTTAAATATGAATACTCATAAGGTTAACATGGGGAACTACAGAGCCACTGGGGCGGAGCCCGAATGGATTTTTGAGATAAGAATATGCCTATATGTTAATCGGGAATGTGAGCTATCATCATGTTAAATTTCAGCCCAATCCGTCCAGTAGTTAATGCGTGATTGAACTTCAAACAAACAAACAAACACACAAACTTTCACATTTATAATATTAGTAAGATTAATCGTGATGGAAAATGTCCGCAGTAAACCTAGAATAGAAGTTATTTTAGAATCTTATCTGTTAGAATGTAGGCTAAACTAGAAATTTGCTATCATCTTGATTTTCAAGCAAAGATTTATTTTGACGATATTTAAGTGATTGTAGAAAGAATATGGCGTAATTGAAAATTTGTAATATCTCACGATCTTGGGAGATGATCATGAAGTGTGATTTAAATTTCTCCTTCTTTCTTCATGGATAGATTTCCATGGACAGATATAGATTTGGGGTCTTTTTGTCACTTGATACGTCGCCCTTATATCTAGGCCAAAACGTCAGTGAATAGTGTTACATACAAATATTTCTCTTCTTATTCTGGATTAAAATAATATATCAGCCTCCCAAACATCATAAAATATTCAACAAGTCTAAAACTGTTTAAAACTAGATTATTGAAGATGCCATGTAATAAATGCTACTGCAAGATTACAGAATTTGTTAGCTAGTTAATAGGCCTAGTTATTTTTGCAGTATAAATTTGTGTTATCATGTGATTATAGTGGTTATTCTTGACACAATTCACTTTGATTAAATGATTTTAAAATGTGATAGTTTTGATAGTCTATTTGTGAACTAAATTATATGTAATATCAGTCTCTCGGCAAGATCAATCGTAAGGGGGAAGTGGAGCTGATGGTTCAGATGAACAAGAAAGCTGCAAAGAATACTCCCGTGGCAGAGATACGACTTAGCACTGAAAGTTTGGCTAGTATTGAAAAAATCATCAACCATTACTATGAGGTGAGGGCTTGTTTTATTTTGGTTGTAGAACAAACGGTACTAGACCACGTAAATTAGTAGTAGGTAAGTTATTCTTTACTGTAGACTTCCTCTTATCCTGACTCCTCGGGACCGGCCAGTCGAGGCCAGTCCAGATAAGGGGCTTTCCGGTTAAACCGACGTCCGCAAAAACTCGTTAAAACGTACCGTTTAAATGTGTACCTACTGTATACAGTATTTGACATAAATTTAGGAGAACATTGTTTAGACACGTGATCACTGGTCTCAAATCTTTCCCACGAGAACAGGCGTTTCAGTACTGCCTACTTCCTGCCGATCTAGTCAGGTTAAACCTATGTGCTGATAAAAATTTTCTGGATAAAGAGATGTCACATCTACCGAGTGTAGTCCGGTTAAACCGATGTCCTGTTATAAGGTGTCCGGATAAGAGGGAATCTAATGTATTATGTTACCAACAAGTATGAACCAATTCTATTTTTTATTTTTTAGATTTCTTGTAAAAGTAATAGGACTTAAGTCTAGGGTTTTGTTGTAAACTTGATAAACTTTTTTATACGTTAAAAAATGTCATTAAACTTTTTTAACACATTCGCTGCGGCCCATCAATGGCAGGGGTAGCCTCGGTGCGTCGCAGCGTCGAACAAACCCGATTGCCAGGCGATTGGCTTTCAAATATTTTGGTCTGACGAATAGCAAATAATGTGCGGTGATGTGCTGCGTTACGATGAGAGTCGACGTAGTTCGCTAAAACACCCACAGATAACAGCACTGCTTGGACCGTAGTCTGTCCCATTGTATTGCCAATTGGAGGGAGAAAGACGGGACAACCAGTTGATTTCCAGATGGACTCGTCAGACGGGGATTTTACGAGGAAATTTACTACCCCGTATTAGACTGGTATTAGAGACACGATACTAACGTGTACCAACCGTCCTCGATGAGAGCCTGAGCCACTTTGACTGTGCAATAGACAATAGACAATAGACAATAGACAAAATCTTTATTGAAATATTCCTAGAGAACATTCATGCGTCAGGTACATAAAATGTACAGTATGTACGTAAACTATTACAGTAATTTGCAATTACAATTAGAATTTTCTCTTCTTTTTTTTTTTTCTTTCTTTTTTTCATGGTAGCTCATTGTTTAAGAATTCATCCTCAGAGTAGTGCAAACAATGCATTGTGCGCTGTGTCCCTGATGACGCAGCCGCCCATCACCACGGCACGCCATGCATCACCGGGGCACCCAGCCGCAGCAAATGTGTTAAAGAGAAGATTCAGTTCTAAAGAATTTTAATTCTAAATCAATTTGGAACTAAAGAAAGTGTAAGTTAGCCCAATTAGGCATATGTAAGATTAATTGTAAATTATAAAAATGATAACTTATCTTTTAACTTAATAATGCAATTGTTTTCCCAGTGAGAAAAAAATTTGGCTAATTTAATCAGTGTTGCCAAATAATTCACCATTCATCTAGTGTAAAGGCATATCCATTAAGTTAAGAGAGTATCAAATCATATGGTGATTTAAAGTGAAACCTTAACTTTTTCATTCATCAATATACTTGCTAAACAATTTGTTTTCTGTTTTTTACCCCAGTTTTCCCTCCAAACTATTCTTTTAACACTAATACCGAAACCCCGGTCTGACAGGCCCACGGGAATTTTCAAAAACGCATGTTGGCAACACTGTTTACTTGGTAGATTCCATTCCCCCAATACCTTCCCCCCTTTTCCTCCCCTACCTATTGATATATCATTTGTTCATTTTGCATGGGTGCCGTGACCTTTACAGGTCGTCTGTTCATAACATGTCCGTCTCAGAAGCTCAGCCTTAGTGTATTTTAAAGCGGGGTCTCACAGACCGAGGGTTTCGGTTTGTGTGTTTCTAAGCGGGGTCCAATATTTTTCAAATGGGGTCTCACAGACCGGGGGTTTCGGTTAACGTCAGCCTAGTTGGGGTTTCGGTATTAGTGTTAACGTTGATGCTACTGAAACATAGCCAGTTTCTATTTGAAGTATAACTTAATCATATAATTTCAGAATGTTGTTAAGATCGACCAGATTGCTCAAAAAGAAGTTCCAGTCATCTCTAATGTTACGGAGAGTCAAACTATCAATGAAGAAGAAGACCTTGATATGGAAATTGGTATGGTCTATCTAAAAACATCAAACTCTAGTTATAAAAAAAATCTACAAATTTTTTTTTTTAAACTGGGTTGTCAAACTTGAGGGCCCCATTAATTTTAGTCATCGTGGACCCCTAAAAATACCCTTGATCGTGTTTTGTTAATTAGAACATTTAATATATACCGATATATATTTTAGATTAACTTGCTAAGAAGATGGTTTTTAACTCAAAGTATAACTTTCACTTGCCTAAACAGATTTTTATGGTACAAATGATTTAAAACTGTTTCAAATATTTGTTTGCAAAACCTTAAGAATATACTTGGACCGGTGCGCAGACCATGCTATGAGAAACTCTAGGCTATCTCGGAGCAACTATTTAACTAGTTAAGGCATTTTATACCACTGAAGAGTACCTGAGCTGTGACCCTCAAGACATTATCTATTGATTTGTGTTAATACTTTGATGACACCTATTGTATACTGCATATTTAATGGTGAATACATTCTTGATTCTTGATTCTTAATAAGTTGGCTCATGAAAAACAAATAGGCATTTACAAGATTGAATAATCTTTATCACTGAAAATGTTTGATGTTTTATTTTAGGACACTTTTGTAGCTACAAATATTGACTTTAAATTGTGCTAGTACTTCTTGTTTGATTGTAAGATCTTTGTAAGTGTTTTTTTATATTGGTAATTATAAGAGTGTGCTTATTTTGACTAAAGGTTTCTCATTAGGGTAGATTTAAATAAATCGTGCCTTACAGTTTGGAGTTTGGTTATACATAATACTAGAGGATACTGTCATTAATCAAATATTTTTTTGTTAAAATTGTTGAAAATAAGTTAATTAGCACGAAACAAATTGTTGACAATTGAACATCCTCTACACTGCCCAGACAGAACTATCCTTAATATTGTCTTTAGCTGATCAATAAGTATGGATTATTTAGGTAGTGTATTTAACCTGTTTAACCTACGGCTTCAACTGAATGTGAAAGTAACAAGTGTTTTTCTAGATAGACGCACTGCCTATCCGACGTGAGAAAAAACTGTTTCCACATGTGGCTGATCGGAGGGACGGAGAACTCTTTAGGAGGTATGAGAGAGTAAAGAGTAGACGAGAGGATTTGAGCGCTGCACTGCCGATTGATAAGTTCAGGTGAGTTTAGTGGCAAATTTATATTTAAATATTGGAATCATTACCTGACAGCAGTATTTAGGGCTGCAATCTAGTTAAATTTATTTGTCATCTACGAGTAGTCTTCTAAATATTTAGTTAAGTATGAGTCCCCCTTAAGTCCTAAAAATTATTTATTGATTTGTTTAAATATATTTTTGTAATATATTCTCTTCATCTTGTGAGGATAAATTTGTAATAAAAATGTTTTTATACTCACCTAGTAGAACTCAACCATCCAAATCAATTGGGACTGTGCAACATTTAGATTATCAAACAATTTTATTTTCAACATAAGTCAGGATTTTTTTTAGTACTATATGTATTTTAAATCTTTATTTTCCCTGTAACCAATTGGTTGGCAAAATTTCCTCACCGAGAGTTTTTTTGCAGACAAGAAATAATCAATTTGGTAGAGAACAACAGTTTTGTGGTGATCAAGGGAGAACCTGGTTGTGGTAAGAGCACGCAAGTGCCGCAGTACATCTTTGAGACCTTTGCTGCTGACCGAGAGGCAACTGACTGTAACATTGTGGTGACGCAGCCTCGACGCATCAGTGCGATATCACTGGCCGAGCGAGTTGCTTACGAGCGGGACGAACAGGTAAGCGACATACAATAGTCTAATAAAGTGTTTGCCAGTAGAGATATGCGATACGGTTGTCAATTAGGAAATACTTCAACAAAACATACTGTTGCTTGTATATGGATACATTTCATTGATAATTTTTAGGCAAATTTATATCAAACTATTGCATTTTACTAACACTTTATTACCTTCCCTGTGGCAGCAAACCTTAGTAAGTGCTTGTTAAAGCTAACGTTATTTAAATAGGGAATAAATCTGACAAATTTAAGGAAATATTTTAGTGCAAATCCAATCAGCCAGTGGAGGTATTTTCATTAAACTTACTTTTTTCATTTTTAATTCTTCTTAACATTTTTTAAAGTAAGTTTTAAGACAAAGTAAAAATTATTTTATTCCAATTGTAAGATATGAGATAAAGCTCGTCCTCTCAGCCACTCTAATGCACCATAACTAAGAAGTGGGGAGTGGGGGATAAGAGATATGCAGACATGTAAAACTGAAGATGTGAGGTATGCAGCACGCTAAAACAGTAAGATAGTACAGTTAAGTGTGGGTCCCTGAAGGCTTGCATGTACAGGGTGATTCAAAGTGAATGACCCAGTTTTAACGCTTTATAACTTTTATACTATTAAACTTACCGCTATAAAATACACATCAAACGAAAAAGCAACTCAAAGAGTTTATGCCTTCCAAAGACACATCATTTAACAAAATCGATCCAGCAGAACTGTAGATTTAATTGTACAAAGTTAAAAATTAATCTCCAAATTTTTTTACCACTAGAAATTCGGAGGTTACTTGACGTTTTTGCAAATAACTTTTAAATGGTGAGGAAATCGACCAAAGTGGAAGGTAATATTCCAAAAGAGAATAAAATTTCCTACAATCTACTGTTATGCATTTCTTGAGAAAACTCAATAAATGTAGCTTAAATTTGGCTTAAAATAAAAAAGTGTGAAATTTAATGTTTGCTATGTTTATTGTCTACATTGAAGACGGGGATTTTCAATTTTTGTTTCATTTTGAGGCAATTTTTGGTACCTTTCTTGAGTATTTTCAAAAAATGCATAACAATAGATTGTAGGAAATTAATCTCTTTCGGAATATTACCTCCCACTTTGGTCGATTTCCTCACCATTTAAAAGTTATTTGCAAAAACGTCAAGTAACCTCCGAATTTCTAGTGGTAAAAAAATTTGGAGATTACTTTTTAACTTTGTACAATTAAATCTACAGTTCTGCTGGATCGATTTTGTTTAAATGATGTGTCTTTGGAAGGCATTAACTCTTTGAGTTGCTTTTTCGTTTGATGTGTATTTTATAGCGATAAGTTTAAAGGTATAAAAGTTATAAAGCGTTAAAATTGGGTCAATCATTTTAAATCACCCTGTATTTCAGAAGTTCAGTCAGGAGCAGCAAAATTGTTGTATCGACACAGTTATATCACATGGTAATAGTGATTTCATAGTACTTCCACACGATTGTCTACAGGAAAGGGCGAAATGACACACGATGAAATGAAATGAAATGAAAAAATATCTTTATTCATATGGTATACAGTCGCATACATTGAATGGCGTCACGATGTCAGATAATTTAGACTACTGTAACTAAAGAAAATAGTTCATAAATATCACTGTGACAGAACACCCTTTGTGATGCATTGACTGAACATTTTATTGAATGTTTTGGCGCTTTGTGCAAATGAAGTATGCCAGTACTTATATCTTATCAAAACTATTCTACGTTCCAGGTAGGGGATGTAGTCGGTTACCATGTAAGACTGTATGCTAAACATCCAAAATACAGAGATGGATATATTCTATTCTGCTCAACTGGAATGCTGGTACAGAAAATGGTCAGCGATGCAGGTAAATTTTCTTTCAAGAGTTTGTGATGCACATTTAAGCATGAAAAATCATTAAAAGTTAAAAAGAAAAAAGTTAACAGTTTTTTACGGTTCATATATTTTTCTAGTTTGCAAGAGTAGTCAAGTCTAGAGTGAGTCTAAGGTCTCAAATTAATGTTTTCCCTGCATGAGTGCAGTTTTGTTTCCTCTTAAAAAATGATATAGTGGAAAGTGTACTCTGCCAACCGGACATACATTCCTCTTTGTAGATTACCATTGTCTTTTTGTATGTGTAAATATAAGTATATTCATAAATTTTTAACAAATTTCGATGGTTAAACTTTTTGTAAATTCGGCCGCCCGTTTAAACGCACCATTGGTAGAACCACACGATATCATTAAATGTTTTTCAATTAATAACTTGCATACACAAAACACAATAACATAATAATAATTATTATATTATATTATTATATTATTATACAACATAATAATTTTGCTATTTTTTTTAAAATAGTAAGTAGAGTTTTATTATACATTTAACGTGTTTCAGGTTTATCAGGCGTCACTCATGTAATTGTTGACGAGGCTCACGAGAGAGATATCCCTGTCGACTTTCTGCTGTTGCTGTTGAAAAGAGCCCAGGAACAGAACCCTGCGCTCAAAGTGATCATTATGAGCGCAACAATAAACGCAGAACTGTTTACCAAGTTCTTCAATGATTGCCCGAGCATTTCCATTCCAGGGTTCACCTTTCCTGTACAACACAGGTTTTTGGATGTGAGTCATTTTTAAGGTTTTTTTATTGAATATTATAATTAAATGCAGTGGTGGCGCTTTACCTGAACAGTAGGGTGGGACATTGCGGGGTGGGATCATTCCGAGGGGTTTGGGGGTATGGAATTTTGAAATTAGGTTTTTCAAAAATTTTTTCATAAATTAGACTGGGTGTTTATCATTTGAAGTACCTGATTAGAAGTTGGGTTGGTTAAAAAATGGTAAGTTATGTTCTACTATTAATTATTTTTTACTATTTAAATCATGGCAAGCACTGCATTTTTAATAACTCACAATTCTGAAGATTGTAGTAGGCCTACAGTTTGAGTAAGTCTAATCCCATTTGAAACACAAACACACTTCACAATAACATCACCATCAGGCCTTTACATTTATGATCACTAAAACCTTAATATGGCTACTCTAATATATATGTACGAATAATTTTACAAAACTAACTAAAAGTCTTATTATTACATAAAATATTACAACTGCAACCAGTTTGCCGGTTGGTGTACAACATACACGGCAAGATGTAAACAAAGCTACACTAGCGCTCAGTACTCCCAGCGAGAATATTGAAAATCAACGTCCAGTTGACCAGCTCAAGTAGGCCCACCCTGCTCCATATACCTATGCATTGTTAGTCAAGCGCTGCCGGCTGGCGTTGCCTTGTCCATTACCTTCTTATGGTGGCTAGAAGGGCCCAAAATCCGTGGCCCTCCAATGTGTTACGAGATGATTGCATTATGTTTCAACAAAAGTTATGACCCATTGAAAGTTCAAAATTAATTTATATCACAGTTCATTGAATAATATCAACCAAATGACCTATAGTATCTAAAAATATATGTTACTGTTTATTTTTGGTGGGCCCAGCCCACTTGGCCCTTATGGAAGCGCCGCCACTGATTAAATGGGTGTTATAATTGGTCTACATCAATCCATATTTTATCTCAGATCACTAGTAGTAGAGTTTGTTGCTTTGTTTTTTCTATTCAATTAAGTAGGAAATAAGATTACTTATCATTTGACAAGACCTACCAAACAATAAAATGATTGTTTTCTTGTTTTGTGATTTGTAACACTTGTTTTAATGTTTTAAAAATCAGATTCAGAAACTGAGCAATTAAGGTGTGAAACTAACCATCTGTGGACTAACGACGACAAGATATTTTTCCTATTTTACAGCAGTTAAGCAGTTTTTGAGGATTCATGGTGGCAAAAAATCAACTGTAGAGAAGGATTAAAAATTTTCGTTTTCTAAGATTTTGAATTTGCTTGATAGTCTTTTAAGATAAGCTGGTTATGTAGTTTGTGAGTCATGTGCAGGCTGTCAAACCATCTAAAATCTGAACAGAAGAGAACAAAAATAACTGCAGTCTAATGTAATTCACAAACTACACAGCTTAATGTTTCAGAACGAACTACGGACAATGTTAAGACGTCAAGGGGCACAGTTTGAAGAAGAAGGCGACCGACCAGTAGTCAACATAGAGGCTGTGCTTGGAATGATTGATTGGATCGACAGGAACAAACCAGATGGAGCTATTTTGGTTTTCCTACCCGGCTGGTTGGAGATCAAAACGGTCATGGAGCGACTACAGGAATTGCCTAATGCCGAGAAGTTTATTGTAGTTCCTGCACATTCAAAACTGAGCAACGATGATCAAAAACGGATATTCCATGTGCCTGATGCAGGCTATAGGAAAGTTATTTTGTCCACAAACATCGCTGAAACAAGCTTGACGATCAATGATGTCGTGTATGTGGTGGACTCGGGTGCTGTTAAGGAAGAGAGGTGAGGATGCTACGCTAATATATTTTTTGTCTTTTCAAGTGAAATTTAAATTGGTTCCTTAAAAATAAAGTCTACGGGCTGATATGTTGGAAAAAATTTGTTTTTCATGCATTTCTAGCTTCACTTGATTTCTACCCCTTCTTTGGGTATCCCAAGTTTTCATTCCATATTGGTTTTTATCATAGTTTCTAAGATCATAGATTCTTATCACATGTCCAATCCATTGTATTAGTCTTCTTTTAAATTCAGCAATCCACCTAGAGCTTGAAACAAATCCCTTAGTTAATGCTTGGTTCTCCGATTTAATATTTCATTATAAAGGAACAATCATTTTTTGATAGGTCATATACAAATCATATAAGTGACCTAAAACTGGTCTATTTTAGAGAAATGTCTTCTTTGATTGTACTAATTGATTATTTTGTAGGATGGACCTGAAGACGGGTCTAGTATGCCTGGACAACCAGTGGGCGAGTCAGGCAAACGTGAGACAGCGCCGAGGTAGAGCAGGCCGAGTAAAGCCTGGGGAAAGTTATCATCTTTACACAGAGGACAAATACAACAGTCTGGAACAGTTCCCTACACCAGAGATCAACAGAATACCTCTTACAAGATCTGTACTGGATGTCAAGGTTGGTAAAGGTCATATCTGCATTGTGTAGGAACTAGAGGTGTGGAAGCAGCTTGATTTTTCAGCTGAGCTGAGCACAAAGTCAGAAGCTCAAGCTGAGCTTTTACAATCACAATTCTCATAGCACTCATAGCATCTGTGTCTGTTTCTTAACACAAGCTTGAAGGCGCCATTCTATATTAGGTGAACAGAATTACATTTCATTTTGCTTGAATCAGTTGTTTCAAACTGTACAATTTCTTCTTAACCACATTTCAAGAAGTTAATTTATAAAAGTAACTTATAATTCTCTTATATAAAAAATTCACAAAACTTGGAAAAGTCAAGTTTTTGTATTTGCACTGACGTTTTCTCCCCAAAAGCTTAAATTTAAGCCTACTTTGCACTCTTTGAAAGCCATATTAAAGGGGGTTCTGCAACAGTACACCAAATCAAAAAAAATGCTCTCATTACAGAAAGGCTAAAAGAACTAAAGAAACCATCTCAATCCCAATTCCCAATATCAATAACTCTAGAGCAACCCAAGAGAGCACCATACCTTCTTCATATCAAATGAAATCAAACAAACCTACAAACCCATGTCTCCCACCCTTGAAACAGTAATCATATTCTTTGTAATTTCATATCTATGACTGTAAATACAATTATTCTTTCTACTTATATTCTTATGGTACTGTAACACTGTAACAGATTAATAGAATGATATAGGTACTTAACAATTCCGGAGATGTTCCAGAGGTGTGAACTGATCTTTCCGGGGAATTTTTGATATCTTTCCGTGGAATTCCTTCTAGTAGTGTTGTTAACACTGCTGTCCGTAATTGCGAGAAAAGATGATGATGACCACATAATGACAGAATATATTCAGGATTTTTCTGCGATCCCAAAAGATGATGATAATGTTTCCAAGACAATGATGATGAACATACGACTGTGATAGACTTTCAGGATTTTGCCGTGATTGCGGATAACAGTGATAACGTTTCAGAGACCACGGAAGATGATGATGGCCACAACAGCGGCGAGAGATATTCAGGGTTTTATTGCGATCACGGTCACGGATGACAATAATAACATTACTGTGGCCATAAAAGACGATGTTTCTGTGACCCATGAAATTATTCAAGATTTTTCGGCGATTCCGGTAGATGATGATAACGATTCCACGACCAACAGAGATGCTGATGTCAACCACACAACCATGGGAGATAGTTATGATCCTGTCCTAACTATCTATGACTTAATTTTTTTAGTTAGGATCATTTCCTCCTGAAATAAATTCACTTGCTGTTCTTTTTTTTTTTACCATAAAATGTTGACCTATAGATGTCTTTCAAATGATAATTTTTATGCTGCTGCTATAGTAAGCTCACTTCAAATTTAAAAAAATGTCAACTATTTGTTTTATTTATTGTGGAAATAGTTATTTATTATTTTAATATTTACTTGTATTCTTCGTCCATAACCCCACCAATTTTAAGAAAAAATTGCCTTTTCAAGAATATGAAATGAGGTGACATGTATTATGAAACTTAGTTCCTCAATTCATCCTTTTATCTTCTACAAAATTGTTATTTAACTCTGCATCATAACATTAAATTGCATGCAAAAAAACTGTTTTTTACTAGTTTACTTTTTATTTGTAATCACGTTATACGCATGATAGAAAAAAAGCTCAAGACTCATTCCTTTTTCCAAAAGTCTCAGGCTCGCACACCTCTAGAAGGAGAATAATTGTGGAAAGACCAGTAGCAGTTTAGTTTTACAAGGTCTTATATTTATATTTAGCATTCTCATTCTAGTATTGTTGCTTTTGGATCATTTGCTTGTATGCTTTGGACACAGTTATGTTTCAGTCCAATAAAGTTACCTACTTTTTTGATAGTAAAAACCTTCTGTTGAATTCACAAAAATCTAATTTTGTAACATTTACAACCAAACAGACTAAGCAAAAATTAAATCCCACAATATTCATTGAAGAATACTTAATAGATCAATTAGAGAAAACAACTTTTTTGGGATTAGTTATTGATGAAAACCTAATGTGGAACGACCATGTAAATCTTGTAGTTAAAAAAACAACAAGTGGTTTGTATGCTCTTCGGAAAATGGCAACCTCTTGCAATATTGAAACTTTAAAAACAATATATTTTGCCTTAATCCATTCACATGTGTCTTATGGTATCTGCATCTATGGGTCAACCTCTAAATTAAACATGGATAGAATATTACTCCAACAGAAAAGGGCATTAACGGTAATTTTGAATCTAAAAAAAAAATCTGATGTAGTTAAAAATGATTTTTCCAAATTGAAAATATTCACAGTTTACAGCCTCTTTATTTTTGAAACAATAAAATTTGTAGTAACTAACAATAAACTAACATTTGGTAATACTGTCCATAGCTATAATACAAGACCCCATCGATTGGTTGAACATCATAAATTAGAGCTTTTTTAAAAAAAAATCACCTATAAAGGAAACAAATATTTTGATCTTTTGCCACAAAATATCAAAAAAGAAATAAATAATACAAACAGATTTTTAAATTTGGCAAAAGCATTTCTAATCCATCAGCTTTCTTTTCTATCGGGGAGTTTTGTTCTTGACTCTTTTGATTTTGACTCTCTCTTAATAATTTAGAATACAATTTAACCTTATGTATTTTTTGAATAACCATCTCACTTAGTTTTAGTTCCCATGACTCTATTTCATGTAACTATATGTTTGCATATTATGAAATAAAGATATTTTGATTGATTGATTGATTGACTTAGTTTTATATTTGGGATTTTTTGTGATGATAGCAGGCTTACCTGAATGAGGAATAGTCTAAACTGGCACAAGAAACAAAATATTTTACACTATTAGAATATTTCACCGTCACTGACAGCATTTTGAACCATTGTGCGAATTCAGTCTACTTCCTCTCAAGTCCAGTTTGGTCTCTTTCCCATACATGTAAGCCTGCTATGCTTACAAATTTTAAAACAAATCCAAAAAACCTGGGCCCTTGTGCTCTATTTTATATTCGTAGTTGTATATTTGGAATATTAAACAATGAGTTCCCTTCTGTTCTAGTTTTCCCAGATCTGGGCATCTACTTATCTTCTCTTTAAAGATAGATAAGATTAGTAGATGGCATAGGAAAGGTCCTAAGCCTCTACAGTTCCAGATTCCAACATCTGTCATATCACTTCCTCTTCTTGACTTCACTTTATTTACTACTGCTACCGGGACTTCTTCTCATTCGCATTCCTTCTTTCAACATCTTAGAGTTAAAGAAAAAAGTGCATACCCTATTTAAAAAAAAATATTTTGCATTCCTTTCACATGCACAACCCAGGCACTGGTCTTGCTGACTAGATATTTTTAGAGATGAACCCCTTTGAAACCCCTTCTGCTTCCCCTGTGCCATAGCCTAGCAGTGTACCCAGACTATTCTCTTCTACTGTAACTATATTGATTTGTTCAGATGCACACAAAAGATGAGAACATCAGTCAGTTCCTATCACAGCTGCCAGAACCCCCCAGACTGGAGTCGGTCACTCAGGCTGTCCGAGTATTACAAGCTATGGGTGCTCTGGATGAGGATGAGAATTTAACACCTCTAGGCAAGCGAATATACAAACTGCCACTGGACCCTTACCTGTCAAAGGCTCTCGTACATGCCTGTCTGTTCAAGTAAGTGATGCCTTCGACTATGGATGGATGTAGATATTCCACCTTAATGTTACAGTTTTCAGAATGAAAATGGACAGCATTTTTTTGGGCCACCGGCAGAATGTACTGATGTAACAAACTTTTTAAGTTAAATGTTAAACTGATACGACGACTTATTGTAAAGTATGGCATCTTTTGTGCTACATCATCTCCCTAACAAATCAATACCAAAGGAGAATATCAAATTTTAGATGGTAGCATTCTCTGTAAGGGACTCACTCAACTGTGTTCTATTTGAAAGAATAAAAACAAGGCTGGTCCATTTAGGTGGGATGTCCACTTCACTATCCACAAGTAGATGGTTATACCAATGACTAGAAAAAATTTCATTACCTAACACGTTCAGTGCGAGGAGCGGTAATTCTCGTTCCACTGTACTGGCACCACTAGTAGTTTGGTCGGGAAATGTCCTCCTTGCATAACAACAACCTTGCTTCAGTGTGTGCTCAGCCTCACACGGGGAACGTTGTTTCCGATTAACGCTTATTGTGCCTATTGTACAAGTTTTATACTTCAATCTAGTATAATTCGTTTTCAGATATGACTATTTTATCAGTGGAAGGGATTGTTTCAAATTTAGTGTAGTGTGGGGTTTTGGCTTGGATTTAGTGAAATGAATGGAATAATGATAATAATTACTGCGCACAGTGAAGCATTTGTGAAAGGAACCTAACCTAAAAATTGTTCGTGATGCCTTTTTGCAATATTTTTTCATGGTGTATCCGGATTTTTGTCCCTGCTTTTTCCCTGCCTTTGGCAATACTAACAGTTTTAGCAATACTAAATCGTCTGTGTCAATTGTAAAGATAATTTTTCTTCCAGGTGCGTAGGTCCGATATTGTCTGTAGTCACTGTATTGTCAGCTGACTACTCGTTGTTTGAGAATTCACTCGGTCTAAAGAGCTCGATGCGACAGATGAAACAGAAGTTCAGTCCGAGCAGTGATCACATTGCGCTGGCCAGACTGTACCATCAGTGGGAACAGCTTGACTGGCAAGACCCGTCTGTGGCAAGGGACGATTGTCGGGAGAAGGGGATTGTGTACAAGAGCATGGATAGGACTAGACGTAAGTTGGAGTATTATTAGTTTGTTGAATGTACGGTGATACATAGCAAAGTTGATACATTTAAACTTCACCTGAATAGGCGAAACATGTTGTGAGTTCTACTTACTACAATTGAACTGTTGACGTACAGGTATGTACCTCATATTAATTTAAACTTCGCTGAACTGTAACTCCAACACCTGTTATGGTTTAACCATGAGATTTGTTTAAGAATTGCTACTTATCTTAATACTTTATTGTATCTGTTATGATAAGGTGAGTATACTTTCCTAAAAAGAACATGGCAGAAACTCCCCCCCCCCCCTTATTGTCCCTTATTTTTCCATCTCTTGGGACTTTTCACCAATTTAATTATACCTATTTTTCCCAGGTTGTTGCTAAACTTTTTTAATATTTTAATATCAGTTTTTTACTTTTTTTATATAGCTATTTAAAATTATTTTTAAATAACTATTCCAAATAGTTGGTTTATTTTATACTAATGAATTTAAGTGTCATTGGATTAGAATTTTAAAGTGCTTTAGTTTTTATACCTACCAAGTGTAGTTTTGATTTAACAGCTCATTTTCATAGCATTTCATTTTAAAATGAGTCAAGTTGAATTTCTTTTTTAAGTTTGTCTTTTCTAACTGTAATATACATACTGATTCCAATTTTCATAAAGATAAGTTATAAATTAATTTTGTATTTCTTCTTTATTTTCCCCTAGTAAAACCACTTAAATAATTCACTATTAATCCAACAAGATGAATGTTCCAGAGCTGAGGTCGCTGCATGCTGAACTTCTCGTGGCGGCACGACTAGTCCCAGAAGGGACGGATGTCAACGACCTCTCCGCCCCCTTCAACAAGTTCTCTCCTTATGACGAGCTACTCAAGAGTGTGTTGCTGACTGGACTGGGCAAACTGTTGCTGTCCTCACAACCCACTGGCAGAAAAAAAGGGATAACTATTCGAACAATGTAAGTGGAATCAAAGTTTTCTTTCTTTGAACCGTGTGATGGAAGTAGACATTCTTTTTTTCATGTGAGCAAACATTAGCAGGTTTTAGAATCAAAATTAAGCTTGTTTCTAAATATCACCTTTGACCTTCAGATACTAGAGTATACATTCCATCAGCTGAAGGCCATGTTGTATTCAGTTGGAGCATAGTTGAATTAAGCTACTGACAAATTGTGTCTATGTAAATTAATGATTTATTTTGAATGCCAAACTGAAATGATGATTCATTGTATTCTAGAGTATGTTTTATGTCATATAAACTATCTTTATCTAGATAGTAAAAATTAACGGAGAAAGTAGAACATTATATGAGTGACTCATTGTGAATTTGGCAGTAACTTTTTTCTGGTATCTTGGATATATGTGTAATTCCATTGTGCGTGATTTTGCATGGACGATATTCAGAAAAATGCAACTTTTTATTGATTACAGATCTATATTTAAACAAACACTTTGGTGGAATCTTAGTTTCTTACAGTTTCAAAATAATGTTATTAGAAAAAGTTTAATTGATAATAAGAAGGCTGCAAAATAGATTTTCACTGAAGTTTGTAGCATAGACAAAAGAATTAAATAAAGACTGACAAAGGAAAGTTCCGCTACGGCTCACCGTCTGCTACCACCACTACCACCCTTGCAAACAAAATGCTACCAACTTATCACACCCACTTTTCAATGTGGGTAAAGTACCAAATTCTGAAATCCTGTAATATTAACAGAAAAGCCCTTTTTTTTTAATCCCCGGAAATTTTTTAAACTTGAAAAGATAATGGAACAAACTCCTACTCCCCAGATTTCAGGGGATTCTCCAGAAGGGGCAACCCTGGCACTAACAACTAACTTGTCATGGCAAGTGTCGGTGCCCACCGAAACTACACTCCTAGTGGTGGACGCCATAATATATGCTAACTCCATCAATGCCGTTGGTCTATATTTAATTATTTTGTCTATGGTTGCAGTCTACGAATAGTCTTTGCTTATGTGATTTTGCTATACAAGGCACATTAGCAGAATGCATACTGGTAGCAAGGACTAGCCTAACTGCCATGGCCACACTGGAAGCTATTTGGCTTCACCAAACAACTGTCTCCAATCTAATTGGCTATCTAATGTTTCTGCCTCTTCTAGCACCCAGAGGGTCATCTTCCATTCTATAAAGTATGTCTAGAAACAGAAAGAGGTTAAAATCGCTAATACGAGGTTAACTTCCTCTTCCCTATATATCTTCCTTCAAACGCCATAAGTTGTTATTAATTGAATTTCAAAATTATCTGGTAAAACAAAATTGTTCTGTTTCAGAGATGGAACGCCAACCATCATTAGCAGTGAGAGTGTAAACTCCAAGTTCAAAGAGTTGCCGACGCCATTCCTCACTTACTTCAAGAGTATGTCGTCCACGGAACGGAGAGCAATAATTGTTCACGAGTCTTCTCTTCTGTCTCCATTGACAGTCATTCTGTTCCAGCCGGGTGTTGTTACACTGAAAAAAGTAGGTCTTGCTAGTTAATATGCAATTGGTCTGCTACTTGTGTTTGTGTCCAAGCTTTTGTTCGTACCTTTGATGAAACAATCTAATTTTGAGATACATATTGATTTAGTGCCACTTAAATTAAGGTAAATTGTTTATACTGGTTACATTTCCTGGATCTACGATGATTTATTGGAATTATTATATTATTATTATTATGTATTGAGGCTGTCTATGGCCGGTCAGATTCAGAATATAGTATTTCTAGATTAAGAAGTACCACTATCGGTACTTCTTACTCGGTACTTCTTCTCCACTACCGACCATCTGCGTGATTCACAACTTATTACAGTTTCTCCAAGTTTTAAACTTGGCTGACATACCCTTCCAACAGACCTAACACCATACCGGATAATAATACACAATACACAAGATTTTACTAAATAACATCTATGTATTTCAGAAGGACATACACAATATCTTGCATTGCACCTCGAAGTGTTTGGTAATACAATACAGTAAATGTAAACAGTATGTATTGTACATAACCCTGTTTACTCTTTAGATGATTCTATAGCTAGTTTAAGTAATTTTTTGTAATTTTCCAAATATTTTTTCCAGATGGATGGATTGGAGGATGATAAATCTGTGATTGCCATCGAAAGCTCTAAACCTGTCAATATCATTGTTGGACAAAAGTAAGTTTCTTTTTGTATACATTCTGAATTGATTTCAACAATCAAAATTCCTGCATTTTGACTATCACAGTTGTCTGTAGCCCTTTTAACTGACACTTTTACTTCCAACTTTTTCTTCTTTATTTCAAAAGTTACGTATCTAAAAATAATTCTAAAATTTTTCATTTTATCACACACAATCCAAATATATAGTTTTATAGGTTTGATCCACAGATATTGGAACAGAAATATGATCAAATCAAATCATCTTTATTCCACCGACACAAATTGCACCCTGGCGGGGGGAGCAGGAACTTGAAAATATTACGTCATCGTACTCACAGACCAAAGACACCATGTAAGACTAAATTACTTACGTAATTCCCGTCACAGCTCAATAAAATATGTCAATTCAGGACATGTTTCGGTGTTAAAACACCATCGTCAGCTTCAGGTACATAGTGTAGAGTTGATCAGTTGTTAACATCGTCAGAAGAATAAATAAACACAGTACGGACACGAATAAATACATAAAACAATTAAACATTTAAAAAACAGGCCTGTTCTAACAAAGATGACCGACCGCACAGGTAGCAAGGGACAGACTAGACCAGCTTATGCTTATCAGTTGTGTGAGAGAGAAAGATATTGGGCAAGGATCAGCTGTTGTAGGATGGACGGAGTTATTGATGAGTGAATTAAAAATGGTGTGGGAACTGAACTGTAGTTTTTCGTTTAATATAGTCTCACGGGTGTTAACGTTGTTAAAACTTTTGTATATTTCATACTCCTCTAGAGTGTCCATCTTTTTCCCTTTTCTGCAAGTGTGTAGAATTTCCAAGCTGTCATCAATATTTCCCATTGTATGATTGAAGTCAATTAAATGTTGTGCGAAGGTGGATTTTTGTTTGGTTACGCTGGAAACTGGTCTGTGCTCTTTAAACCTTGTTTTGAAACTTCGTCCTGTTTGGCCAACATACATACTAGGGCATTCAGCGCATTTCAGTTTATAAATGCCAGTTTTACAATGTATGTCCTTTGCGGTCGTTTTTGAGGCTAATATATTTTTTAATCTGTTGCTAGTGTTGAAGGTCAACTTCATGTTATTTTTCTTGAATTCTTTTCCCAAGCAATCATGTATGGTCTGAGAATAATCAACACATATATGTATTTTGGTTTTTCGGCAATGTTGTCCCTAGTAATATTGTTTTTATTTTTATGTTTTTGGATTAGTCTGTCCACAATATTACTTTTAAAACCATTTGCTAAGGCTATATGTTTGATAATAGCTACTTCACGTTGGTAATGTTCATTGTTCAGTGGGACAGTGAGTAGTCTATGAACCATACTATTGTAAGCACCCATCTTTTGGGAATATGGGTGATAAGATGTAGCGTGAATTGTTTGGTCAGTAGTCGTCGGCTTGCGGAAAATGTCAAAGTTAAAACTATTGTTGTTTTTAATGATGGTTAAATCTTAAAAATTCAGCTTGTTGCTATCTTCAATTTCAAGGGTGAATTTTAAGTTGGGTTTCAGACTATTTAAATAGTTAAGGAGTAAGTGTAGCTGCCTTGAATTGCCGTTGAATATTACAATAGTGTCATCAACATATCTTCTATAAAATAAAATCTTGCTACTATATTTATTTGTGCTTGACATGATGCATGTATTTTCTATGTGATTTAGATAAATGTCGGATAAAATTCCTGATAAGGGAGAACCCATAGCCAATCCGTCAGTTTGGTGATACATTTTACCATCGAATACGAAGTAGTTTTGTTTTAATACCTCCTTAAGTAGTAATAAAAACTCATTAATTGCATCAGTTGGGAGGCAGGAGCTCTTTAGATGGAGCTCCAATGGAGGATCCAACAGCTCAGGGGCTACACACATGAATTTAAATCAAAGACACCACTCTAAATAAATAATCATATGTTATGCTGGCTGATGAAATATAAATCTTAACAGACTCAAAATCTAATTATTTTATGTACTTTGATATAAATAACTTATACAGCTACGTAATGTCTTAGTGTATGCCTTAAAATCGGCGCCTTCCCGCATGAATCTAATTTTTATTTTTATTACTTGAATTGTATCGCGATTTGATGCATCGAATCAAATTGGAATTTTTATTCATTTTCGATGCATTACACACCCCTAAATGTGGATCTTAAATTTGTAAATTTTAACCCTATCCACTTATAACACACTACACATTTTAGTGCTATCTTAATGTTGACATCTTGATTTCAGGGAAGGAGAACAGCTTTTGCATTTGAGGCAGGTTATTTGGAATGTGTTGGAATACCTTGTTGAAAATCAAGGATCTCCTAGAGATTTGGAGCAGTTCCTTACAATCTCTGAGTTTAGAGATAAATTACTTGACGTTTTGGCCAACATAACAACGGAACAAGGATCAAACTTGGATTATACAGAGGCAGGAGAGCTAAGAACCGAACCTGTCTATCAGCGGTCGTATAGAGGATAAACTACCAGTCTTTTAAAAAAACAATTATTATTCATACAGAGTATTTGTAAACGTTTGTACAAAAGTGTAATATACAGGTGTAAATATTAATTGTTTATGTTTGAATAAAGTGTTGCGATTATCACATTGATTTGATAGTTTTCTATCCTTTGCCTTGACAGAATTTTATATTCTACCTACAACTGAATTTCCCCTAACAATCTGTTAAACCTGAGTGGAAAGTGCTGGCCTGGTAAAATCAGAAGGTTGCAAATTCGATCCTGGAATGGTCTGAAGCTTTTTAATTTTAATTATTTGAAATCAAGTGTGTGTCGAGCAGTCATCATTGGGCCAATAACTTAGTTCCTTGGCTAAAGAATCGCCTGATAGTCTGTAACAAAGCTGTCATCTCATTTTGCATCAAAATATATTTGAGAAATTAAATAATTATTATATATTGGCCTTTTGTACCATCAAATTTAGTATTACATTACATTAAAAATATATGTTGGTTTCTCTTACAGTTAAAGTACCGGTACCTATTTACTTATTACAAAACTGTCCAATACCATAAAATAAAAATGGCATAAAGATACTTGATAAAAATGCTCTAAATTTTGCCTACTTTTTCCTACCAAACTGCATGGAAATTATCACATTTTTGGAAAGTTTTCAAATGAACACCCTGTATATATATATGTGTCCGTTAGCGCAATAACTCGGGCAAAAATTATACAATTTTGATGAAATTTGGTACAAACGTATAAACCTACATTTATTCGAACCAGCATAATCGGACTAAAGGAACAGGGGTTTATGGGGTAAAAATAGATTTTTGCCATTTTGACCCTAAAAACACGAAATTTCATAATTTCTCTCCAAACCATTTTGTAGAGCTTAAAAAAGAAATGATTTTGTATATTGAAGCATTGTTGTATGCCCAACGGTTACGGAGATAATTAAAAAATTGTCATTTTATTCTTAAGGAGGATAAATAAACTGTTGTAGTTTGCTTGTTTATGGATATATTTAGCCTAAACCAAATTTGTATAGTCTGCAGGTTTGCAGAATTAACATCGGAACAACACGTCGAAAGTCATGGAAGTATCTAGGATCTGGAGATGGTCTTCACCCTGTAGTTTGAAGTGCAAAGAGAGAAAGACAAAGCTGGGTGATGCATATCTTCTGGCAGCAATACGTCCACAGCGTTTCTTACATCGAGATCTTCGTTGTTTGAGAAAAAAAAGTCAAGGCTAACTCCCCTATGCTGTAAGACTTTGTTGACCTGAGTGAGGTCATATGACAAGAAAAGTTTCCTTGACGTTGCGTGAAGATAACATTAACCTTTGAGGATCTGGGTCAGTCCTAATGGAGTCTGGGAGGTGCTCAGATTGCAAACACCATTTTACCATTTAGAAAAATTATAAATACAATAACAATCAAATCAATAGTTAAATAACTATTGATTTGATTGTTATCAAATCACAACAACATCACGCCACTCGCGTGAGGTGCGCGTCCGCGCCCGCGCTCGCGTTCGATAAATCGCTGTGACGTAAACGTGCCAATCGGGTGATATGTGTATAAACTGTGTAAATATGTAAATTGAACTTCAAGACTCCCTGAAGATGCCACACACTGTGGTGAAATATATTGGAGGATTATATATTTAATAAGCAAAAATATCTCATTATTGGTATTTACAGGTCACCTAGATCAGATGTAAATATTTTTCTGGACAGGTTAGATATTTTAATTGATTATTTTAATAAAAAATATGATAAAACTAGCAGAGTACCCGTCCTTCGTACGGGGTTGGAATATAAGTATAAAATGCTAAAGCCATAATGTTCTACCACTTCACCTAAACAATAGAGAAAAATAAATTATCAACAATTTGCAAAATATCACAAATTATTCATGAAATGAAAACATAAACATAACTGTAAACAATCCCACTTTGACACTTCTCATTGCAATCACAGTTTTTTGTTGCTGCTTATTTCAAATTAGCTGTTTTCATATAAATGCAAAAAAATATAGTGCTGCACCCTGTTGGTAAATCTTATAACTTTTTAATGCTTTTCCATATCATAGAACCAACTTTTTTAGTTGAAACAGCTGACTAATTTCTTTAATTCCCTTTAAATATGAATACTCATAAGGTTAACATGGGGAATTACAGAGCCACTGGGGCGGAGCCCGAAAGGATTTTTGAGATAAGAATATGCCTATATGTTAATCGGGAATGTAAGCTATCATCATGTCAAATTTCAGCCCAATCCGTCCAGTAGTTAAGGCGTGATTGAACTTCAAACAAACAAACAAATAAACAAACAAACAAACACACAAACTTTCACATTTATAATATTAGTAAGATTATTGTCTATAAGTCTCTTGCCTATAGTGTCCAAGTTGTTTGAGAAATTGTTCCTCAAAAGACTACAAGCTCTTTTTGAAGAAGACGACGTCATTCCAGGACACCAATTCGGGTTTAGACGGAGACATGGCACCGTGGAGCAGGTCCATAGGGTTGTTCATAAAATTCGAAACTGTTTGGAAAACAAACAATTTTGTTCTGCTGCTTTCCTTGATGTCAGTCAGGCATTTGACAAAGTATGGCACTCTGGCTTACTATTCAAAATTAAGAAGTTACTACCCCATTCAGTTTTTCCTATTTTAAAATCATATCTTACCAACAGAACTTTCCAAATTAAACATCAAAATTACTTAACTGACTTTTACCCTATAGAATCAGGAATCCCCCAAGGAAGCGTGCTTGGACCATACTAACTTGTATATTCTCTATACATCGGACCTACCAGAAAGTGTAAACACTATGGTTGCTACATTTGCGGATGACACGGCGATTTTATCTGTCCACGACAATCCAGCTCAAGCTACAGCAAATTTGCAGCTAAACTTGGATGAAATTTCTCATTGGTTTAAAACATGGAGGTTCAAAATTAATGAAAATAAATCAGCACACATTACTTTTACCTTAAATCAGGCTACATGTCCTCCAGTATCCATGAACAATATTCACCTCCCTCAAGTAACGGAAATAAAATACTTGGGCATGCACTTAGATGCAAAGCTTAATTGGAAGGCACATATCTGGACTAAAAGGCAACAACTAAATTTAAAAACAACTAAACTTAATTGGCTTCTTGGATCTAAATCAAAACTCAGTACACAAAATAAATTGTTACTGTACAAAACAGTTTTAAAACCAATTTGGACTTATGGTATTCAGCTTTGGGGATCAGCAAGTACCTCAAACATTGAAATTATTCAACGTTACCAATCAAAATTATTACGTAAAATTGTCAACGCTCCTTGGTTTGTTACCAACAGAACACTTCACAATGATCTTCAAATTCGAACAGTAAAAGAAGAAATTACAAAATATAGTGAAAAATACATTATAAAATTGGAAAATCATTCAAATCATCTTGCACTTAATTTATTGGACAATCACAACACCATTTACAGACTGCTGTTTGCTAGTGTTGACGGTGGTCAATCACTAGCTCATATTCTTCAAGTTATTTTTGTATGTATTACTATTTATATCATTTGCTTATTGTTCAACTTGAACAGATTGCAAATTAAATAAAGTTAAAAAAAAGAAAAGAAAAAAGATTATTGTAGCAGGTGACCTGAATATTGATGTTTTAGTATTGGACAGCAGACATAGATTATTACAACAGATGTTAGAAAGCAAAAATATGAGGTACCTTGTTAATTTCCCAACAAGAGTTACAGATAATTCGGAGACAGCAATAGACAACTTTTTGATAAAAAATATTAAATTATCTGACTTAAAGGTAGAAGGTCTGGTTACTTTCTTATCTGACCATGATGGACAGCTATTAAAAGTAAAATGCCAACATTCTATGAAAACCGTAAATTTGCCGATTAAAAAAGAGTTGCGTAAATTTTCACCTGAAAACACTAATCTTTTACACAATTACTTTCCAATGAATCTTGGCTCGATGTATATAATTCCAGGGTAGAAACAAAGTATGATGTCTTTTTTAAAATTTTTTCTTACTATTTTGATCAGGCTTTTCCAAAAATATTGGTTACAAAGAGAAATAAAAAACGTACATGGATAACTAAAGAATTAAAGATGAAACAACAGCATATTATCATTGACTATACACCTCTCTAGTAGAGGTGTATAGTCAATGATATTATTCAACTGACTAAGGAATATCGTAGTAATAAAAGTAATAGTCTAAAAGATTTTTTACATCAGGAAAAGGCTAGTTATAAAAGAGAACTAAATAAGGCTAAACACAGACATTTCCAACAAAAAATTGGAAATTCCCAAAACATTCAGAAAACCGTCTGGAATATAATCAACTCTGAAGTTGGGGAAAATGACAAGAAACCATTAGAAAATATAATTTTAAAACAAAATTCAGAAACAATTTTAGACCCTGGTAAAATTGCAAATATGTTTAATGGTTATTTTAGCAACATGGTTACAGATTTAGATTTAAATTTAAATTGTAACAATCAGAATGTGACGGCTGATGTGAAAGCTGATTTTATTGATGACTTGTTTGTAAAGCCAAAATTTGAACTGAAACCGATCACTGAAAGGGAGGTGGAAAAAATAATTCAATCTTTAAAAAATAAACACTCCAGTGGGCATGACGAAATTCCTGTAACAATAATAAAGGCTGCAAAAACCTACATCAGCAAAATTGTTTGTCATCTGATCAATTCTTCGTTTGTTTCAGGCATTTTTCCTAAAATATTAGAGCAGGCAAAAATAATTCCTTTACACAAAAAAATGACCCTGAAATTATATCCAATTATCGCCCAGTGTCTGTTCTTCCTTCAATTTCTAAAGTGTATGAAAAAGCCGTATACTTACAATTATCCGAGTTCTTGGAAAAATTTAATATTTTGGATGATAATCAGCATGGATTTCGGAATGGAAGATCAGTTGTAAGCGCAGCTGTTTCTTTTATCGAATCAGTCATTGAATCAGTAGACAAAGGACATTATACAATTGGCATATTTATGGACCTTTCTAAAGCGTTTGATAGTGTAAAACATAGTAAATTACTAGAAAAACTTAAAATAATTGGAATATCAAAAAGAGCTCTTAATTGGTTTTCTTCCTATTTGACA